TTCTGCATAGTTCAGATTTAATGCATGTTTTATCAAATTTTTTATGGCTTTAGCAGTATTGACATTGACAGCGAATTGTTCGACTGACATTTTATGTCGAGCGTCATGTGTTTCGGTTCTTTGCAGATAAAAATGTGATATCGTATGATAACATTGCTTTCACCGCAGTCAAACGTGACTAAAGCCGCATCAGATTGATATTTCTGACTGAGGAACTTCGAGCGAGTCAAAACACGCACTTTCTCTTTGTTAACAATTTCAGTTGGCTGTGAACGGTCTAGAAGCAAAATTGAATTAGTCTTATTATTAACGTTTAATAGTCTTATGTTTCAGAAACTGAATCAGATCACACATCGCTGACTCAAATTCGAGACGATGTGATTTAAGCACTGTTTGCTCCAAATGTTGTATTACGCTGTTACACTTACTTTCAAGCCATTATTGTGGTTCAGCGTGTTTCGATACTTGTAAAAAATCCTTTAACCAGATTGTTGTTCAGATAAACGACTTGAATTCTGACCACTTCGTCTTCCGTTGACTTTCCGTTAATAGACTTTCCGTCTGTCATCTAATTGGTGACAAGGATCATGAGTAAGATGCACGTAATGCAAACTTGCAGCAATTTTTTTTCCGACCTTGGTATACAACTGTGTATAGGTAACTTTGGATGAAAAATTCGAAAATCATAGTTAAAACAGGTTTTATTTTCCGAATGTTTTATCGATTTCTCGATGCACTCACAAATTGTCTCTTAATTTGTCGGTGCCGGCCAAACTTACTTCTGCATCTTGACCATCGGCTAGATCATCCTTTCTTCTCTGCGATCCATCGAGTAAACCAATTCAGGAAAAAAATTCTGCAATTGCTGCAAGTTGGGGAATAGTGCGGACTGCCTACAGGCTTCTTTTGTCATGATTATGAAATCATTATAGATAAAATCATATTGAAACAAATATTTCTTATATTATTTATATGTTATGAAAACTTAAGTGGTACAATGAGTATTCAAATAGAAAATTCACAAAAAAGGGGTAAAGAGTTCAGCGAGTTAGGCCAATCTTTTATCTTTTTCTTTATCTTTGCAACAACAATAAGCAACAACTTCAAGTGATTCGTAAGAGCAAGTTGGTATTTCGTTCGAACTTGGTTTTTATTTTTCTTCCATCTGGAAATTTATTGTTATCAAGAAATAATCGCAATACAGTTGCTCGAATCGTAGTTGCCAGGGCTTCTGGTAAACTTTCTAAGTTATTGGACTGCAAGTAAATCACAGACAGCGTTTCTGGTAATTGTTCTAAAATACAAAAACTTATTTATTACTTCATTATGAAACTGCGGACTACAAAAAGGCCGAACAACAGAAAAGACGACTATAAATTTCATGGTGATTTTTGACTACAGAACGGAATATATGTAGGTTTGTAGAGGAAGACGTCCTCTATTCAGTGGTGTATGTATTGTCGAATCCCAATGCGCACCATCAGAGAAAATGAGCAAGTGTCATGAAATCCGGATTATTAAAATCCTTCTTTTAACTCATCCGAAACTATGCATCCAGAATCCAGCAATTTCCCTCGATCAACTCCGGTAGATTCTTAAAAACGCTCTCAAGTTCGGGAAAAAAATTCTAAATTAGTTCGCCGCTTATAATAAAGAGCAATGTATGATCTAAGACTAAAGTACAACTGATTAACAATCGGACTTGCATGGCGTTTTATTGCAAGCGAACAACTCGTACAGAATTTCTTTTACTGGAGTTGATCGAGGGAGATTCATTCGAAAATTTTACGGACTTTTAAATTCGGATGAAATTACATCTGTGTGGGGCTGCACGGGCGAGTAGGATTTTTGGATAAAAAGACATTTCGGACCTCAAAAATATCCGAATTTGATGACACTCCACAAGAGAAAATGCATCCTTTTTCTCTTTTATTTAGTACTTGATAAACTTTTGCAACAGTCGGTCTTGTAGAGTAAAGATTTCTCTTCAAAATGAAATGTCTTCCAGCTCTTCACCAGGTTTTTTGATAGAGTTATGATCATTTTGTTGGAAGCCTATGAAAAAGTCACCTTTGTAATATAATGTCTAAAATCATAACTCTATCAAAAAACATGCTGAAGAGCTGGGAGACATTTTTATTTTGTAGAGAAATTAGGATTCGACAATATATATACCACTGAATAGAGGATGTCTTCCTCTACAAACCTACATATATTCCGTTCTGTAGTCAAAACCTTATAGTCGGCTTTCATTTGTCCACAGTAAAAAAATGTCTCGTTGATCGCATTCGAAATTGCAATGGAGGCTGTTAGAAAAATGATAACCATGCTTTCGCCTAAAAGTCACAACGCTGTAGGAGGCTATCTACGATGACGATGTTGAATATTATAGTCAGGATTACTCATCGTATTTTTCGTGATTGTCTCATTTTTTAGAAAACTCAGCACGGTATTCGTAATTTCAACTTCTGATCCGGTGAGATTAAAGAGCACATCAGGTTTGATCAAAGCCAAACCATTCAGGATTCTGGGCATTCGTTTTTGAATTCAGCTACCTTTTAAAATGAATATGAACTTTGTTTTAGTTAACTATTAAGCTTGTAAATTTGTAACGTTGTTAAAAAAGTTTGATAATTGTGTTACCTTTAGCGGGTGAAGGTTTTTAATTTAAAAAAAATATATATGCAGCATAAGCATCGTCAGTTACCGATATTCCACACTTTCGTTGGAAAGGCAAGGAATCAACTGGCCACTTTCCTTTCTAAGTAGATTTGTGACTCTTAAGTTCAATAGGCGTGTTACATGAGAAAACTGTCTTCATAACTACCGGAGCGATCGCTTCCAAACTTGATCTGGACAGATTTCAGATCATGTTTTCTTTTGTCTAGCGGAAAGTTTTTTCTAAAATCATCGGAAATAGAACATTCGGATTATAATTCGGATCCAAAAACATTCAGATATGATTAGATCTCGGTTTCTAAAACGTTTTCCAGAAAACCGATTTAAAATTTCACATCTAGAGGTCTAGATATTTTCTGTTCACTGTAATCTCTCTCTCCCTCTCCCGCTATCACACAGATAACTATAATCATACATAATCATTTCCTAAGGCGGTATTATATTTTAATAAGTAATATTTCATAAATATAATGTCAGATCTTCGTCACGAAGCATCCAATACAAGTTCGGAGACCACAGTTCTACTCGTTGTAGTAATAAAATAATTAAAAAAATCAATTATAAAGATATAAGCAGAAAAAAATTAAAAACTAAAGTGAAATTTTAAATCAGACTACCGAAAAACGTTCTAGAAAATCGGTTTTCTGAAAACCCTATCTTCGATGGTTTTGGAATAAACTTTCTGCTAGACAAAAGAAAGGGCATGATCTGAAACCTCTCTAGAGCAAGTTTTGGGTTTAGCGAGTAGCTGCTTCAAAGTTAGCGTAGACCAACTTTGTCATGTAACACGCCTATCGTAGTACAGGGGTACCAAAATTATAGCATTCTCTATCGAAATGCTATAAAAGGAAATATTTCCAGCAATGAGATGTTCCTTGAGATTGATTGTTGAAAAGTTTCCTCTTCAAGTATGTCAGAATCGAACGTCTCGATCCGTCTGATTAGACAACAGCGAAAAAAATCAAATCGCTCATCAGTATACTGAGTTTAACGAGATCTTTGATGATAAATAGCAGCTAATTTGTATGGTCCAAGAGAAAAATGATCGATTTCCGAAAAACTATTCAGTATAATGAAAAAATGAAATTACAGTTACAGAACGAGGAAGTCAAACTGTACTAGAAACAGTCGGAATGAAATTAAAACATTCAAAGGTCGACAGAATTAGACTGAAACGAAAGGAGATCTTGTTTGATTGAAACCAGAGAAAAATGCTGACGAACTAATTGATCAGGCACCATCATTCTCTTTTGGATTCTTGTCCCCTATTTTGTTCTTAATCAGGCGAGATGCTCTTTTGTTTCAGTCTAATTCTGTGGCCCTCTCCCGTTTTGATTTCATTTCGATCGTTAGGGGGAAGACAGTTGTTTTACTAGTTATCAGAAACTGAGGAAGCTAGTACTGTCACAAGTCTGTTCGTCAGCAATATAAGGCAAAATAAGCTCTAGAAACTGAAATAAAGAAGTTATCTTCGTAAATTCCTTCTTTTCACTTATACATACCAATTCCTGATAAATCATTCAATTTATTATGGATCATGTGTAATGTATGTAGACTTTTGCAGTACATTAATGCCTCACATGGAAGCTTAGTGAAATTATTGTGGATGAATGACAATTCTTTTAAATTTTGAAGGTTTTCGAAAAATGTTGACGGACTAATTGATGATATATTATTATTATCCAAACACAAATTTTGCAGTGATAATAATGTTGCTAATACAGCTGGTATTTCTTGAAAACAACATCCATCAAGTGTCAATGTTTTCAGTTTTGATAATTGACTCATTTCCTTTGGCAACGTCCTCAAAGCCTTATTGTTGCATATGGATAAACTGATTAATTGTTTCAAGTGACCAATGCCAGACGTAACAGGCCGATCACAATCAGAAATATATAATTTTTGTAAATTTTGAAGTGAAAATAAATCTGGAACCGATTGTATTTCTTTATATATCATTAAACCGATAACTTTTCTGTCTGTATCTATTTGTGCATGAGTCGAAGCACGCTCTAGCGGAAAGGTTTCACTTTGTTTAATTTTTATTTTAAATGGAAACGATAAGATAACATTGATATCGATTATTTCTGTTCTGTCATCTTTTAAAGAAAAATCGTTAATATGCATATGAAAAAAGTAAAAAGAGTATACTTTCTACTTTTAAGCATAAAAAGTAATTTTTGAAAACCTTGCCAGCGATTCCACGATAACAAGGAATTTCCAAGAAAAGTTTTCACTGGCGAAGTTGAAGCAGATGTTATTCTGCATGAGATAAGCGGAAGGGAATTTCAAAACAATATTTTGAACAGAACTTAAAGGAGGATTAAAAAGTTTTGAATTTTAAAATTTTTTAATCAATAATTTTTGAAGTTTTAGTCGTTAAAAAAGAAAAACAGTTGCGCTTATTACATGTAGAATTTCATAGAGAACAACTCTTATTCCAGCAGTTTCTATGAGCTATGATTTGCGTAATAAGGATCCGCGGCAAGATTGGGGGCACGTATTCCTGCAAGAAGAGCTTCCGAAAATCCCAGCAAATATTGTCAGAATCAATAATCTTTTATTGTAAGATGGTGGCTAGATAGCCCAGAGTGTTCTTTACAATTCTGCGCAAGATCGACCACTCTATCTGTTGTAATTCCTGAACGGCAGATATTTTTCCGAGTCACCCGTAATTCGTTATCATTTCGTACAGTAAATCCCTGCCGGTCAAGAATCACAATAGATAGACAGGTCGGCCTTGTGCAGAATTGTAGAGAGCACTTTCGGCTATCTAGCCATCATGTTACAATTAAAAATCCACAGTAGATTCAAAATCTGGCAACTTCACCGCTTTTCATCAATCAGACACACCATCTAAAAAACCAAGATTTTTAGCACTAAATAACAAAAGTGTAAGGCATCAGAGTGATATGAAGTACTAATCGTCAGCATGATTAATTATAAATTATTGTCTTATTATTGTCTTAAAAAAACTTTTTTTAAAGCTTTTTGCATAATACTATAACAACAGACCATTGGCTATCAAGCAGTGCATGGATGAATATTCTAGGATTATTTTTGACCGATTTACAAGCTCTTTAAAATAAGGACTAGTACTTTTAATTTTAATTAAAATTTAAACGTAATTAATTTGATAACTCTGTCAATAGTTATTAGTAGGGCTGCCAGCTTTAACGTTAATTAGCGTTAACTTTCGTTTAATGTTAACGTAAAGTATGTTAACATTAAAAATTGTAACGTAACGTTAATGTGACAGTCCTAGTTATCAGTTCTTCGAAAAAACTGAAAGATATATGTAATCAGATGTCCTCTTCAAACTGGTATAGCTTAAGACCACATATAGGAGATGTAGATCCACTTAAGGCACCCAGGTCAAAAATGATGAATCCGTCGAAAAGATTGACTTTGAGATAAACATATCGTTTAATAGCCCAAAATGTCCTCTCTTCAACGTATCAATTTTTATATCCTGTAAAGAGGGTTTTTAGGACCTTTCAGAGGTTCTTCTAGAAGCCCTAAGCAGAAAGCGCTAAATTTTAGCCAATTTATGCTCACATATACGCTGACGTATGGGGCACATATCCATCTGATTCTACATGGACGAAAATCTTGGGCAACGTTCTGTTGAAAGAAAGATAAGTTGCTTCTTGACATAGAAATATCAATTTTTTCTGCTAAAAACTTGTTTTGCGCTTTTCTCGAAATTGTTTTTTTACTTCAAAGTTATCGGCACCTCCCAAGAATATTCGTCCACGAAAGCCCTACAGAGTTTTGGGTTGCCCCATTTTGTAGCTAACACTTAGGGTCTCACATTGACAGGCATTTAATTTTCTAGGATTTTCTAGAAAAAGGTTGTAGTTGATTTTTCAGCTTTTTTGACACTGTGAAACAACATTTTGGAAAAACTAATTATACCATCTAATAGCGCTTGAAGTTTTCTGTCAACTGGTTTATTTATATCTTGTCTTTCGTTTATTATTATTATTGTTATTTATACCTTTCCCTCATTGTTAGCTTCTCAGAAATTGTAACGGGTGCGATCTCTCAGTATTTTCTGTTTCTCTCATGTTTCTTTAGGATCTAAAGGTTAATATTTTTTTTTGAAAAGATGCGCCGCGAAATGCTCTACAAAACCATACCTAAACTTTAATTTTAAACCTTCAATCAAGAAAACTACGCATTTGATACGAAAGACGAAAAAAATGAAAACTTTGAAAATCTGTTATTCTTTTCCACTTGAACCTTTTTCTTTTGCTATTATTTCCGTAAAAAAAGGGTTGCAAAAGTGAAAAGTCAGTTCTTTCTATACTTCTGAATGTGCTCTTTCTCTTGGTCTGTAAAAAAGTCTTTCAGAACAGATGGTGTGGAAAAAACGAAAAAATGCAGCTTTTTGGTACTTGTCAATTGGGGATACCTTCGCTGTACTCAAATTATTTTTAAGCAGATAAATGCAAGACAGGACATAAATATATAGGATGATAAAGAATTCCAAGCGCTATTAGAATATATAATTATTTTCTTAAAAAGCTATTTCTAAAGCAAAGATAAATTTAAAATACTAATCGAGAAGACTGCGGTAAAATTCAATCGTTGAAAATCCGACAATGAGGGTGCCTCCATTGCATCCGATTTTCCTTCTAATGAATAAGAACAAAGAAAAATCTGGATATGTTGATAGAAAACTCCAAGCGCTATTAGATGGTATAATTATTATTTCCAAAATGTGGTTTTATAGTGTCAAAAAAGCTAAAAAATCGACTGAAGCTTTTGTTTTCCAGGCGTATATATATCCTGAAAATTTCAAGTTTTCTATCCCTTTTAGCTTAGGAGAAGAGTAAATAACAAGTTTTTATGAAAAAATCTTTCCTAACTACCGGGATCTACAAAAGTCGCGCCAATATTTCTTATTACAAATGTTTTCATTTGGACTTATTAATTAGCAGCAAGTAACTTAGAAGTTTATGTGGAGTTTCGCGCAGTAAGAAAGAAAACCTTGCTTCGTAGCGTGCAACTTACTTTGTAAAAGGCGGGATAACGGTTGTAGTTGGCTGTGAACGTCAAAAGGTGGTTCGATAAGCGTATCCGATGGTGTTTGTTGTTTTAAATGAAATATGTAAAAACCAGGTGCTGGATTTAACAAGCCAATAACGCAGAAATAAGTGCCCGGCAAAAGAAGAACCTCATTTTCAGTTTTATAATATGAATGCGCTTTGATAATTTTTCCCGATGTTGTTTCAATCGTAAATAATGTTCGAATACCGGTCTTTCCCAAATATTGTGGCGATTCGAGAATTGTCACTGAAGATGTGCAAGAATTAAATGCCCACCATGTGTAATTTCGTCCTTCTTCATATATTGTACTTAAATCTTCATTAATCCCGCGCCAGACGAGACCCTTGTTATCGGGTAATTTATACAAAGCTGTTAAAACTAATTTTAAATATTTAAACCACGGCTTAAGTTTGGCTCTATTAAATTCTCTCAGTGTTCGGTTAAGGATAGCATAGAAACTTGAACTTGATTCTGGCCATTCCATTGTATATAGCTGAATGGCGGCTGACTCGTCAACTGTTAAGCCTTCACGATCTGATAAGCGTTTACTATTGTTTAAGGCTATTTGAACATACTGAGCTAAACGAGCAACAATCGAATAAAGTGGCTCGCAGGCTTCTTTCAATGGTAACAGAGGCTGCTTTTCATGCCCAGATATTGGAAGTAAATCCATTTCTGGTTCCTTATGGATATCCAGAATTGTTAAGCGCGCTGGTGGTGGTTCCGAATTTTCAATGGACATGACGAGCTAAAATGGAACTCAGATAGTTTACATGTTTTTATTTATTGGTCTTTTCTGTGACTTGGAAAATTCGATAAGAAAGGAAATCCTATCGTCCAACGACAGAACTGTTTCATACGGTATCTTTCAAGATTCAGTAGAAATGAAACAAAGTACACAAAAACGTTTGACATAAAATCAGAAATGTTCTTTTCTCAAGCCTTTTTGCTTGTATTTTAGAGAAATGCTTTTCGCCAGACAGGGATGAGCGCACCAAAACAGAAGTCTTACGATATCTGAATCAGGATCGAGGGCTTAAAAACTTGATTCTCTAACTTTGTTTTT